GTCACCTCAACGAAGGATTTAAACAACGAACGATCCTTGCAAACATGCCTCGATGCACCCGAATCGATGTATCAAGAAGTATCATCCTGTACACATAGGATTTCAGAAATCACACACAAATAACTCATTAAAGAATTAAATGAAATTTGTGCACAAGTATTACCTTGATTGTCTTGGGATTGGCTTGACCCGCCTTTCCCACCTTGAGCTTTCTTGTTGCTCATATTTTTCTTCCAAATGGTACAATCTTTCTTAAAATGTCCGGGTTTCCCACAAATCCAACAAGCTCGTGAATTTTGACCATCATTTCCCACTTTAGGTTTTTTGCCTTTGTTTTTGTTTGAGTCATTTCCTCTCTTCCTCTCATAAGACTTAGCATCCTCCACCACATTCACCGTGGTAGAACTAGGATTAACATCCTTTTGTCCCTCTTGCACTCGAATTTCCTCCTCAATCCGAATGTGAGAAGCCAAGCCCTCAAGATTAATATCATCTTTCTTATGCTTTAATGCATTTCTAAAATCTTTCCAAGATGATGATAGTTTATCAATTATAGAAGAAACAATAAAGATCTCATCAAGATTGATATTGTGTTGCCTAAAACTCCCTAAAATTCTTTGGATTTCATGAAATTGTTCCATAACCGGCCTACTATCAATCATCTTGAAATTATTGAACTTACTAACAAGAAATTTCTTGCTAGATGAATTCTCGGCCATGTACTATACTCTAATTCATCCCAAAGCAATTTAGCGGACTCATGAAATTGATAGATATCAAACAATTCATTAGACATACCATTAAGGATGTGACCACGGCATATTTAGTCATCATCTACTTGTTCCTCTTTCTAGTAGCCTCCAATGTCTCGTTTTCCTCCTCTGATGGCTTCGGGGATGTGAGAACATAAGCCACACCGAGTGATGTCAACAGAAAATGCATCTTCTTTTGCCACCTTCGAAAATCCACACCCTCAAACTTGTCCAATTTCTGGAAATTAGTCATTTCCTTCACATTTGCCATCTTTGTAGTAGATTATACTTTTGGATTGTTGGGGATTTTCTAGTAAACAAGGGTCACAAAGAAATGGAAATGAAATTATTGGAAAAAACCTTCGAGGGGTGAACGGGATCACTTTCTCAAAAGTATAATTCCGACCCTATACTACAACCGTGTATCACGGAAATTACTTAGGAGATACAACGAAGAACAATTATTATCACTTATAGGATGATAGCAATTCAATGTATTAAAGTGTTTTGTATTTTGTGATAATGAACAATCTGATTATAACTTCCTAAGCTATATCAAAACGATAAGATAGAAACTATATTTCATCTCTCAACCTACCTTCATCATATGAGGAGTTTCTCATCATATATATAAGATAGTAGTATGTCACTGCATTTTTCAAACATAACAATGCATTAAGTCATGCATTAAATAATGCTTTAAGCCATGCATTGAACAATGTATTAAGACATGCATTGAACAATGTATTAAGACATGCATTAAACAATGCATTAAGACATCAATTAATACATTAAGTTATAAAGCATTAAGTAACTGTCATACTAATGCAAGAGATACCGAAACCGAAATCTTATGTAGCGGTTGCAACATAATTAGTGACGAATCAGCCACTTTCTTTCTTTCTCTTGATTAGTTGTATACTACTACCTTAATCATATGTTGTCTAAGTCACGACACCTTAATCAAATGACTTAAACTTAACATAACATGAATAATAATCAACTAAATACTCTAAATATTGAAATTACAATACATAGAGATAAGGGAGGTATAAATATTGAGTTTAGTTGAATGTTTAAATGAGTTGAAGGCATGTTAGAGATAGATAGTATGTGAAGGTTAGAAGCGAGGCAAGAGATTGGATGCATTGGAGCTATATATGAGAAACAAAATAAATGAACAAAGCACCAACTTTCATGTATGTTTATGTTTGTGTGCCGAAATGTCATAACAATGCAACTTCTACCATGTCTAGTGAGTAACATTCCTGGCCTGTAGGCATAGGACTATATGAGCTAAAAGCCTAAAACATAGGAAGTCTAATTTGTTATGCACGTCCAGTCGTCCATGTAGTATATGAGAGCAAATAAGTTCAAATACAAAGTAATACAGAGTATAAGGGCAAAGAAGCTCTAATAAGATAAGTTAAGGGTAAATATTAAATAAAAGTTCTAATCAAGTCTAATAAGTAATACTAACACCTTATATAAAATTCAAAACAGTATAAGAAAATTCAAATAAAGAAAACACTATCTAATATTTTGTACAAAGTATATAGCATGTATACATCTTACATTAAAAAAAAAAAAAATTGTAACTTGTGAAAGAAGCTGGTTCTTTATAATTTTATATCTTAAAAAAAAATGGTATAAATAAATAAATTGTAGATAAGACACGTAATTTTTTTTTCTTCATTTCTTGTTGTCATCTTTCCATGCTAATCTTGATATGATTTGATTAATTGATCCTTATCCAATATTAGCTCTTAGAATGACCTAGATGTTTTATTATATTGTCAAATAAAAATCTGTACGAGCTTTTTGTACATCTCTTTGACTAAGGTCTTCCATTTTGCTTTGAGTTGCGCGATTACTATGAATTTAGTCAGCTGGCTGTCAATTAGCATTTGATAATTCTATTTATTGTCTTCATTAGTTTGGCTTTATCAGTACTACGTATTAAAAATTTCTCATCTATGATTTTTGTATTAAAAATTTAAAGTGCTTATTTTACTGAAACTTTGGAACGGCTACATATATATATGTATATAGTCGACCGTTAAACTTGTACCCTGCTCTCATGTGCCATGTGAGTGAGTAATTTAATTAATGCTCAATCATTCTGGTGTGGGTGCCGTGCAAATAGCCTAATAGCTAAATGTTACTTCTTAAATTAATAGCTACATCCTACATCTATTTATTAATTTTGGATTTTCCGAAGAAAAGTTGTTCTTTTCGTTTTTGTGATCGAGAATTAACGATAAGGAAACGTTTTGTATGAGAGTGGACTCACCCTGAGTCCAATATATCTGATATTAATAATTTAATATCTGACATTAATATGACATTAATAATTTAATACTCCTTCCGTGTTTTAATAAGTGTTACACTTACCAAATGTGGCCGTATTTAAATAAGTGTTACACTTTCTTTTTTGGCAAAAAACTACATTTTAATATTATATCTCTCTCCTCTCAAGGTCCCACCTAAACCCACTACTACTTTTTTTTTTTATTATTATTATTATTTCTCTCCTCTCACATTCATTATTTTTCAATAAACTATTAACCCCCACCATCTTTCTTTTACAATTTTTAATACTCTCACTACCCTACTTACCTCTTTTTTTATTTAAGTCAATTAAATTGCCTAAAACTATGTGACAGTCAAAGTGTAACACTTATTAAAACACGAAGGGAGTAATCTAATGTCAGATATTAGATTATTAATGTCAGATATATTAAACTCACATGATTTTTTTCGTTAACGATAATAAGGAGCGACAAAATATGATGGATGGTCGTAGTGCTGAGGAGAGATAGTGATGGACGGTTGTAGGGATGAGGAGTACCTTTATATGTTACATAACATGTTTTCTTTGATTGTTATACTTCGTATATTGTTCCAAGTGTAGTAATATTGGTGAGAGCAGCCGGACTCTGATTTGGGTTGGGATACTTGACTCTTTAAAAGAACAACAACTTTAACAATTGATGGAAAGTTTCTTCTCATTTCTATTATATAAGTCAACTCTTGAGAAGTTTGATGAACAACATAACTAAAATGTACTTAAAAATATTGTTACTTTTTTTTATGTACACTTCTAAATTAGTCGTTGTACATGTTTTTTGAAATTTAAAACACGAATCACACATATCTAAATCTAGTTTACGAGGAACAATGTGACAATTAGGGGATCAAAAATTAGAGCAAACACTAACAAGTATGGTCCAAACATTTTGATGTAACCCTCAAGTTCTAACTGTTTCAAATACCATAAGAAAAGTTTGGTCCAAACATTGTGATGCAAACCATAAGAAAAATACTCGAAGAGCCTTTATGTATGGCTAATAGAGATACCTTGCATAGCTAAAATGCTTGTCACTTCAACCTTATTTGACATGATGTTATCAGTCTTCTATCATCATTAAGTTATAATTCTATATTATTATGTCACACTCTTTACTCTACAGCTCTACTTAGTGCAAGATTAACCGAATTGCGTATCAGCTGAGTCCTTAGAGTCTACTGCCTAACAGTGAAGTTGTACTGATTTTTAACTAACTTTGAATTATATGAAATTGAAACCACATCTAAACCTCCGGTCTATATGAGATTGAATGGTAATGGTGAAATCATAAGGCACAAGTGATTTGGTACATCCAATACATACAGTTTTTAGAAACTATTGGAGGAAATGCTCGCGATTAAACAGTTTTAATAGAAACCATTGGAGGAACATTTCAGGTTGTAATTAGGACGACCTAAACAGCAGAACTCTTCCAAGGTTAACTCATCGCTTCGAATACAGCACTTGAGATAGGGATCAACGAGAAGTTGTAGTCATTTGCCTTCAGCAAAATCAAAGCTGAATCTTTCTCATCTTAATTACTGTTACGAGCTTACAACCTTAGATTATAGAATATAACTTTGTGGATCCATACAGTAGTGTTTCTATGTCTTTCATGAGGCCGCCCCAGGTACTCATCATGAGAAACAAATTTGTAAAATTACAGGCAAGTAGCGGTTTTGTCGATGAACAGTAAAAAAAAAGTTCTTTTATTTACGTCTTTGCCATTTGAGAAACTTGGAATTTCTCGTCTTTCATACTTAATTAGATATAATTACATTTTTCTATGCGTCTTTAGCTTAACTAGTTGAATTTCGAAAAAAAAATACTACATAACATCTGAAGATTGATGGAATAAGACAAAAAAAAATATCAGTAACCACAAAAGAACAAGTATATAGAGATACGAATATGAGATGACACGCTCAGTATAAAATCCAAGGTGACGAAATTGGACAGTAATGGTGAAATCTACAGAATAAAAATGAATCATAAGAAATTCAGAATCATCGGTTGTGTAGAAAGATTCCAGAGAAGCTAAATCATAAGGTACAAATGGTTTGGTCTGTCAAAACTCATCCTTATTTGACCCACCAAAAAAATTACATTTCAAGCACAAATCATACAAAAGAGCCATACCAAACAGTTTAAAAATGCCCTACGTATAGTTTTTACAGAAACCAATGGAGGATATTGCTCTCAAACTTGCATCTCCCTGCGACTTTTCTGGTCCTAATTAGGACGACTTGAACAGAAAACTCTTCCAAGGGTAACTCATCGCTTTGAAAACAACCCTTGGGTTAGTGACGAAAAGTCATAATCATTTGTCTTTTGCGTTGAAGTCCCAGTTGAAACTGCAGATGCTGCAGAACTTTTACTCGTTTCAACAGCAGCTGCGCCATTGACAGGCATAGCTTGACCTATAGAATAGAAACTGCAAGCAAGATAAAGCAGCAGAATATAAAAAGAAAGATAATAAAAGCCATCATTGTCCATATTGTGCACGCTCAAGATAAATGTCCCCTTGTCAAATACTTCAGGAAAAACATGCATGTAGGAGAGGCAGATCTTATGTCTCAAATTTACCCTTCTATTCGCTTATAACCACCACTTAGAGCAAGGATATAATACCCAATTAAACTTATACGAAGTATATTTCTGGATCAAACATCTCAACCTATGCATTTTAAGCACCCTACATCAAGATATGTAAGAATACTTGAATGTTACTTCGAAATCCTTAAAATTATCTTCCAGAGGATGAAAATATTAAGTCTGGAGTCAGCTTGTCAGGATTAGCGAAGGGATCTAGTACTTAACACTCAGAGCCAAAGAGGGAGTACAAGTAATCATGAAGAAATAAGTAGAAAAGGACAGGGAAGAAACTATGCATTAAAACTACCAGAAAATACAGGCAACACACAAATTAGCAGAGAAAAGTTAAATTTACTACGGGAATGATGATTAATGAGTCAAGCAGTTGAAGCTTGTGAAAAAGGAGTTTTAAAATTGCAGTCATCACTAAAGTGGAACAAAAGCTAACTGAGTCAACCTAGGTATCCCTTCTTGCTCACAGAGACCATGACAGACTCAATTTTATGGTTGGTGTAGCAATTGTCAAAAGATTAAGCTTGTTCCTTATACAGGTAATATCTGATATGCAGATTGAAAATGCTATCAACTCACGACTTCAAAAAATAAGTCATTCCCTTGTGACCATAAGCTATAAATTTGTACACTATTACTACAGAGAAGTCCAACCTTAAAAATTACAGATTCAAGTGAAGGCGTGAAATCTTTCATCTAACTCTACCAGTAACCCAAAGAGCAGTGTATGGTATCCTTTTCTTCATCATTAAAGATTAATTACAATATTCTAAACTGAGTAGCATTGACTAATAGACAAGCTAATAAGCTTCTTATACTTACCCCATTGCTGGGAAAGAGGAAGGATTTCCTGTTAGGTGCATTGACGGAGGGTTCCCAACCTGCTCAACAAAAAATAAAATTCATTATTAAGTCCTCTCTACAAAATCAAAAAATGACACCAAAAAAAACTCCAGCTGTTAACAAGGAATTTTCACCTGAACTGATTTTGGCGGTTCATTCTGACCAGCTGATTGCATAGTTAAACCAGGAATTTGATACCCAAGACCTGGCCAGTTTTGAGTCGGCATGTTGGTGCCATTTAATCCAGGTTGTTGCATATTGACGTTTGATTTTGAAGCCCCATTAGCTGCTTGAGCAGCTGCAGCCATAAGAAGACTCTGTTGCTGTGCCAGCATTGCTATTTGCTGTTGATGAAGAGCAAATGGTGATACCATGTTTGACTGCATGTCAACCATATAAAACATTATAACAGATTTTTTTTTTTTTTTTTTTTTGAATAGTATAACATTATAACAGAATTTAGATTGAAGCATCAACTTAGAAAATAAATATATATAGTGGAGCGTCAGAAACATTTTGAGTGGCTACACTGAGTCACTGGCTACCTGCTAAAAATAGAGCTCACTAGCTCAGCCAAGATTACACAAAGTTCATGAAAACAAGCCCCAGGAAAAGTGAGATGAACACAGGCTTCTCCCAGACAACATAAAATATAAATAAACATTTAAAAATTTAAAAAATAAAAAAATAAAAAAATAAAAAAAATCCTTCCCACATGAAATCTTTTCCAACAGAGAACGAAAAGGGAAAATAAGACTACCACACACTTCAAGAAAAATGAAAATATGAAGCAAGGGAATCAATGTGAATCACTTATGAGAGAAATATATTATTGGCTATCAGAAAAGGAACAGCAACCTAGTTTAGGTGATGCTACTTATGTTCCCCACATGTAATCATGTGTGCTCTTCTGCCCTTGCATTCTTTCTCTTTAGCACTTAGCTCTAGTCTTATTTAGGTTGAACTGGGCCAGCCCTATTTTGAGGAAGATGTTCTTGCAATTGGAAAAGAAGGATGAATAAAGATAAGCTTGCCAATGTGTGGAGGATGGTCAATTGGCAATTGGGTGTTGCACTTGGAATGAAAGAAACCAATAGATTTGTAGGAGTATAGTTTATCCTCATCAGGATAGATGAAGGCAAATTTCAGCTTCCATGCAATTTGCATTTCTAAAATTTTGTAAATAAATTATTTCTTGACAGTTAAAGGTCTAGAGTTTGCATTGTCCTCCTTTTGAATTTGGGTGACACTCTCTAATTCCTATTAAAAAGGCTAAAAAATTACTGCATTTTCAGAGAACTCCTGAATAAAACATACATAACCCTACATAGACATAAAAAAAATAGTATAGAAAGTTTGGATAAACTGTTATGCAAGACGAAATAAATACATAATTATCAATGGCAAGTGAAAAGATGTTAATTAATGATAAGATGCAAACCTTCTCAAAAAGGCTCATAATATCTGATTTTGCATCTTTCTGAGGTTGCTGCATAACTGGAGTAGTGGATACTGAAGAATCACCAAATAGATCTTCAAATTCAGAAGAAGATTTCTTGCCAGTTTCAACATCCTTCTTCACTTCAGCTTTCTCAGAAGTTGACGTTTGCCCAGCAGCTGCAGACATTGAAATTTGAGTACATTTCACAAATCCAACAACAAAATCATTGAACTTAACACACAGATTAGACAAGACAAACTGTGTACATACATTGGAATCCTGCCCAGCCATTATCATCATTATTGGCACTCTCAGGAGGACTTTCACCGGGATCATCCATAGAAAGCATGTTGAAAAGATCAGTAGCAAAATCAACTTTAGGAGGGGGGGCTGAAGATGTGTTAGCTGACTGCTCAATTACTTCTGGTTCTTGAACAGTTGCTTCAGGTTTCTGTATCTCATATTGAGGCTGATGAACTGGAGCAGACTGTTAGAAAACCAAACAAGATTAAGGAAAAGAACAGAAGCCAGAGAACCAGAGGATAAAATTATGCAGAATATCAAACTAGAACCTACTGTCAGATGCAGAACAATCCATCCAATGATTTATATAGACCATGAAACCCAATAATAAGTAGAACAACTAACAACTGAAAAATAGAATATAACAAACACAAATGTAATATTTTCAGCTTTATGCAGTGAATTTGACATAAGAACATCAATTCAAGGGATTTTTTTACACTTAATAGCCTAACAGCAGGTTCTTTACACGCTGATCATGCCTCCAGCATTATAAATTTGTATTTGTATTTAATTCTGTTATATCCTTATAAAGATCTCAACAGTCATATCCAACAACAGCAATGTAACATCTTGAATACCCAATCCCAGAATCAAATCTCATACACTGCCAAAATGGCCACAAAATCCAACTTATAAAGCCCTCTAATAGCAAAGAGTTGGTCTAAATTTTTTTAAGAAGAAGGATCAGATAAAGCTATGCCCTCACGTATGAGGGGGTGAGGGGGGGGGGGGAGAAGCTATATATATATATATGCACACTATTCCCAGAAGAAACAACTCTTTGGTCCATATTGGATGAGCATTGCAGACACTACGAAATGATGATTTATAAAATGACTTTTTGTCAATAACCAGCCATAGGGAAGGCTATAATTATAATTGCACAATAAATCAGTTAGGAAGCAAAAAAAAACAATAATTTTAAGAGGGGAAGGAATCAGGAAGTCTAAAATAGAGGACTATAGGAAGAAAATGGATTGTGAGAAGAATTAAGAAGTTTATTTTGAGCTTTACATAGCTTTGGGAGGCGCCAAGCTCTCGTATACTTGACACTTGTCTTCAATTTACTTTAATTTCAATTTTATCAATTAAAACATCCTTCTACCTTAAATTTTGCTCCAATTATGCTAGTTAATAAAATAAAGTTCTCAGCACTTCTGATGATCCATTTTCTTCCTAGCCTCCTCTATATATAGACTTCATGATTCCTCTTTCCCTCCTTAACTTAATTCTGCCTTTTGCTCAAGCTTTCTAACTGATTTGTTGAGCAGTTATAGTCATACCCCTCCCTACAGCTGGTTCAATAAACTTTTTCCACCAGTTAATGTAAGCTTTCTTCCTAAACACACAATTACTTGCAGTTCATCAGAAACAACATAGTGTGTCGACAACAACTTGAAACAAGTGCCAAAAGCGAAAAATACCCGACAAAACAAGTGATATACTTCGTATTGGGTAGTGATTCTAATGAGAAAGGTAGCCACAAAAAATCAAATCATCTTCATACTATTCTTCCCACTAGAAGACCAGAGTGTCAACAAACATTTCATAAGAGACATAAGCATTTCCTAGCAAAACTGTAATTAATGAAGATTTAGACAAGCATTTCCTAGAAAAACTACAACAAGAAGTAAAATCATATGAAATCTTGGAAACAAAAAGATTCAAAAAAGTATGCCAAATAAGAAGAGTTTAGAGGAAATGATTTATAAGAATTATTCAATTAACAACTGCCATCCAGTTGGCATATATATCAAGATTTGGAAAAGGCAAAAACTATCAGAAAAGATTATATATATAACAAAACAAAAGGCAAAACACCCAAATCAAAATTGAACCAGTGCATCATACATGTGATGTTCAAACCTGCAGGAACAAACTTACATGCTCAATTCCTTTTGGAGGGGATGGGATACTTATTCTCCCTGCTGACCTGATCTCCCTAGTACTAGGAAGAACAGTGTTTTTCCTCTCCTCGATCACATTAACAGGTTTGTTGGCATTTACATGCCCATTCCTTTCCTCCACTCTTGATTGATGTGAAGGCGTGTATTTTTCCCCTCCGCTATACGGTGATCCATGACTAGCATCTTTTGGAACCCACCTCTTTTCTTCATACCTGTATATTGCCATAGCCAATGACTTAACCCTCAATGTGAAGATTTAAAGGAAATCTTAGGATTAAAGAAAATCCAAATCAAGAAATTAAACAAAGTGGTTTCTGGTAACTCAAAATACATACTTTGCACGGATGAAGTTCTCAATTCCAACTCGATCATAATTGGGAGGCAATTCTGCTTCCCAATAACTATTTGCTCTTTCATTTCCCATGGCTGTGTACACAAGGAGAGAGGTGCAATAGAGTAATTCAGGTGAAGCAAAAGTCCACAAGAAAGAGTTCAACTTTCAAAGTACAATGGACACTACTTACACTGAATGAATGCAATCTGTTCCGGAAGCCATGTGTCGAGTGTTGCTGATCTCACCTGCAGAATGTTCGCAAAATTAACAATGTCCTTTTCAGAGGATATGTCTATCATGCAACATATCAAAAGCTAAGGACAAGTCACAATGGGGCATAAAAGATTGTGGGCAAAATGAGAGCACTTCATTCAGTTCATTATACAACCATAGCAAAAGAAGAAAGAAAGGACCTTCACATGGAAAATTTAAAGAGCCTGATTAATGGTTTACTAAATTTTCAGCAAATAAGTGACACTTGGGAATAACGTTGTCACCACATCCAGCTCAAGGCTTTGAAGCTACTATTGTCTTCAATCGGCGTTTGTGGCAAATGAGCCCCATAACTTAAGACATATGTGCAAAATAGCCCCCTAAGTACTAATAACAGCAAATTAACCCCACTACTTTTTAAATCGTGCAATTTAACTCCCATCAGATATTTTCCGGTGACATTAAATCTAAATACATAAAACAAACCGGAAAACAACTACTACGTATTTTTTTTCCCCAAATAACTACTGTACACGTATATTTATGCTAATATAGTTCATGACATTTGTATCCCATTATTCTCATCTTACTTACTTTTGGTCTTCATCTTCATCAATTATAAGACACAACTTTCTCCCTCTACCCACCATTTCCCATTTTTTCTCTCTCCTCTCAATGGCAAATTATCTTCCAATTTAAGTGCAAATTAAAGTAGCTAATATAATGAGAGGAAGAATTGGGTTGTTTACGAATCCTATTAGTAGTCAAAATTCACTACGACCTTCTACCTTAGCTTTCAAAGAATTTCTGTAGAACTTCCAGCACTTTCCCGTCGCCATAGCCATTGTCGATCGGGGCTCCAACAAACATAGCGCAGCTCAGGACTACAATTGCGAAGTTATTGGTTCTTTTTCATCAAACTAAATATTCAAAGGTAATAATCATTTGTCAATTACAAAGTTGTTAATCAGGTTCATATTTTTATCTTATTATGAATGTTGTAAGTTTATTTGTTAATTGATTTATAGACTGAAATAGTTGCAAAATTTCATATATAAAACTGAATGTTGTAAGTTTATTTCCCAATTACATAATATCTTGATGTGTTTCTAAAGGTACAATTTAAAATTAGGTTTTAATCATGGTTTACATCATGAGAGAGAAATCAAGTTACCTGTAGAGGAAGTCATGGAAGAGAGTTGAGATGTTTTGGAGAGCGTAGTGCTTGAACATGTTGTTGCTGTTCATGTAGTTCACTTTTTTTCTTTTTCTTTTTTTGATGTATTTTTTAATTTCATTATAGAGTTATTGTATATATGGGTTATAAATAACGTACTTCAAATGTACAAGGGTTGTATATGGATAGTATAGTGGTAAAATTATAGTGGTATTCCGGCGAAATTATAATTTTCAGATTATATATGGTCGGAATATATCATTTATGTGTTAATTACACGTTTACAAAAGGTGCAAGGCTTATTGCTTCAATCAATTATAAAGGGACTGATTTGCACATAAGTCATAAGTTATGGGGCTCATTTGCCACATATTCCTGGCTTCAATCTCCATAAGACAGAAGATGAAGGGTTGTTGATATCTAAGTAGAACAAATTTAATAATAAAGACAATATTATCATCATACACACTTTTGAAAATTGCAAGGTGAACAAAATTTACATCAAAAGGACACACTCAAACTATTTTAGGATACCTCCCTAATACATGAAGATTGTAGACACACTCTTTATTTTTGAGGAGCTCCCACTAATCAACTTTGTACCTAGCTCCAACTCTCACTTACACATACACTTTGCCACACATTCACATATCTACTCTAATTTATGTGTACCCAGCACACCTGTAACATACCACTCCACAAATAGCTCACACTATGTAACATCTATGCAAAACTTACGTCAGCTAATATGCTAATCCATGATTCCAGTAATGGCAGTGCTAAACTCACAGTTTTCTTGTGCACTAAAAATTATTCTAGCTGCTTTCTTTTGTGTGTGCTGACTTTTCTTCGGACACATATTAGGCAGTGAAACCCTACAACTAGAAATCACATAATGCCCACTATCTTGAACATTCTAGTATGTCAGTACAAATTTAAGTACTCTAGTCTAGATCTCTCTTAAATTTTTATTCCAAAGTTAGTTATACGAAGTAATTCCCAACAAGAGTAAGCATCATATTAATCTGATTAACATAGTCCCTCTTGCATGTTAAAACTGGCATAGTTTGCCAAAAAAAAAAAAAAAGCGCTCCAAACTGACCCATTTCTTCCCTAGCATGATGAACTACCATCTTATGTTGTAATATTAAGGTGATCCTGCCTCCCAAATAAAATGACACTTTTTTTTTTGTTAATAACAAAAATAGCTCCTTATAGTCTCTGAATGAAACGTCAACTAATAGCAATTCATCCAGGCTGTAGTTCAAGCAGAAGACTTATATCACATGTCGTACCATTGATTAAATAAAAATAAATTATATTAAATTAAGTAGTAATCCTTCCGTCCAGAATTAATTGTTATGTAGTCTATCATCAAAAAAAAAAAAAAAAAAAAAAAAAAAAGGCAGAATATCTTTGATGTTCAATAAAGAGGCAATTATTCTTCATCTCCCTCATGCTTTTAGTTACTTCTTCTCTATATAATGATACATCCATGATAGCAGGAAGAAATTGATAATAACAGGCAGCTAGCAGTAGATGATGTTAGCTCTTATTTTGCTGATTTATAATCAATACATACCGATTCACCTTGGCTACATATATAGATAGAATGGTTTTAGAGATGTCGCACTTGTGACTGCTGTGAGTTCGTGACACTAATCTGCCTTGGCTTGAGGCTCATTCCTCAATTGAAAGCGAGAAGTAAAGCAGGGCATTTTAGTAACACATCTAAAATTCATAACTAGTTTAAAAAATGTGACAACTTTTTCATGACATCTACAAACATAGATGTGACTATAATATCCGAGCAGGAGGAGGTTGTACTTTATTTAAAAAAAAATTGTTTATTTAAAACAGTGTAAAGGGACATTAAAAACAGTATAAACTAAGATGCAAAAGATATATAGACTATATCTCACCTCAGTTATTTCATGAGGACAAACATATTCATCTCTTAATGGAAGAGCAAATTATTGGATTAAATTAGATTTTTGAACCAATATAGACTTATTGCGAATAAAACTACAATCCATCCCTATCTAATGTCTTAGTATCGGGTTATTGGCCCAAGAAAATCAATTCAACGTTAAGCTCTTTAATAACCTATGATCAACTTCTTTTTGGAATACCCTACTCCAACAAAGAAAGTCAACTCCATACCGCTTCCTATAAAGAGAGCTGTCCTAAACCTGGACAAGGAGCACTAGAAACACCATCATTCGATATGAACAGTTCTTGAAAATTGTTAATTTAGTCAAATAGTAGATTCCAAAAATCACCATCCTACATAATGGTTCTACTTCTTCAGATTATTATTGAGTGAAAGGTTGATGATTTTGACACTGCCCAACTTAATGATGTCGCTCATACTAATAAAAGAAAACAAAGAGATGGGATGTTGTTACAAAATTAGCAGCCAAAATGAGAGCCCAACAAGACCTGGTGAGCTTGAGCATCTCAGCTGATAAGGCTTTGAAATTCGAAATAACATTGAGGAGTCCAACAAGGCAACAACAAAGTGCTGATTACTGACTCACTTGGTAGGATAGTCAGCTGAGAAAGAAGGCTGACAAGATTTCTTTCACTAAATACAATTTTGTACAAGTCAAATAGCAGCATTCCCAATTACAATTCCAACATCTCCAAGGCAATCCAACTGCCAGTATCAGAAAGTAAAAAGAATTGGCCTAAAAAGATACGAGGAAAAATAGCTATACCGATAACAAATTCCCCAGCCATCAAATGTCTGTTTCATTTTAACATTAACAAGGCCTTATTTCTACTTCTGGAGGAAGCAAATCTTAACCATAAAGCAATAAAAGATTACAAAATAGTATTTGATTGGCAACAAATAAAGACAGCAACAGCTTTGGAAATAACATATAAAATCACATTCAACAGAGCCAACTGACCATGAATACTAGGACATACCTTCGAAATATGCACCCCCAGACTTCTGTGGATTCCAGAACACTGCATGCATATGAAGATGCCCAAATTTACACTTGCCCATCTTGGACCCCTGTGTGTCGGAAATAACATAATCAGTGATACAGATAAACAGAAATGCCATCCACCAAAATAAACTGACCAATTACGCATTTAGGCCTTATGTTTCCAGGGACCTACTTCGTTTTGCAGTCAGCACATTCCCTATTGTCAGGCAACTTAAGAAGCCCTTCCAAAACCTGTGCACAGGGAAAAAAATTAATAAAGACTGGTATCTAGTGAAAAAGTAAATTCAATGATCGAAAGATATTTAATTAACAAAAATTATTCAATAATTACACATTAAATTACTAAATAACTAAAGCATTCTGATTCAAGCACCAGAGAATAGGCCTACTTTACTAAGAAGTCAGTCATGATAAGTACAGAAAGTTGGACCTAACGCAAAGATCAATCTAAGGCCCAATTTCCAATTTCAACATCCTCGTTTGGATACTAAAGAAGCCTTGGACTATAGAACTCCAAGATGCCTCTTTTATCCAGCTCATCATTTTACCAAGGACACTTGTATTAACAGAAGGAGGCACTAGCAATTTTCTACAGAAACCTGTGCAGCTTAATCTAGCTCGGAAATGGTTGTATACCTATTTCTCTAGGTTCTAAGAACATGGGAATTATGCATCTGCAAGTGAAACTTCTCACGTGAAGGCCATTAGCCAAAGTCACTTTGCTTGTGCCTTTTCCCCAATGGAAGCTAAGTAGAAGAACACTTACACAAACAGGGAATACCTGGACTATTGAACAGCCTTCACCATCACCCCAATCAATTGCATACCATTACAGTTGGAAGGCCAACATTAGAACAACCTACCCTGCAGACCACCAAACCCAACAACAGCACCATCATTTGAAAGTTCGGTAACTCAGCACTAGTCACCTTTCCCTCAACACATGCATGGGAATGCCAAATCTATCAAATTCCACTACAATACAGATCTGAGGTACCACTATACCAGGCCTTGGGCCTCAAAGCCATGTCATGTCAAACCAAGATAGCGTGTCACTATCCTCAAATATAGACAGAAGGAATACATATTAAAGAAGGAATAGCCAGAATGTGGCAACAATGGTTGTCACAAAATGGAACCTTAACGGTAAGGGCATGGATGGGAATCACAATATTAGTAAAATAACATAAAATGATGCTTTTGGATAGTGATGATATCCTTTGGGATAGGATGAATCCTGGAGCCACTGGCCACTGGGTCAAAACAAGATCAATATCTTGGGTGCAACTAGAATAATACTAGCAAAGTCACATTACATAGGGAAAACAATTGCATCATAATTAGCGGCCAGCTAGCCAGCATAGTGTGAGCTGTTAACCCCAAAGATTAAATTCTCAAAAGTATTATAAACACAGGTTCCAAGTATGATTAGTAATATGTACAGTTCTAAGCCTAAACTGGCAAATATTATGAAATTGGAGTATCAATTTTGCTCACTACTAATGTTATGTTCACTTCACCTTATTTAAGGTGCTATGATATGTGTCTTATAAGATCTAGTCTCATCTGATTTGATCTGATTTTTTTGGTCTGATCAGATTTTGTCCGGACTGGTATGAATTGGTTTTCTTGTCTGAAAAGTTATCTGTATAAATTTATCTGGTCTAATCTGAAAATTTTGGGTTGGACTGATGTGGTCTGAATTTTTCTTGTCTGGTATGATATGGTCAACAAGAATAAGAATATAAGATGAAGAAAACAAAGCCTAAGCCCTAAATTCCTATCATATAACCAAACAAACACCATACATAGTGCATTACGCAATCCCCATAACATAAATGAGACACTATTGTAAAAGCTTACACTCAAATATGTTAAAAAGTATGAACCCTATGAAGTTACCAAAGGTCCATATACAACATAAATGGTATTCTTCCACTGCAATAGGTGCATAACCTAAGACGCTGAGCTGATTATTATACACTTTAAAAATTAGATCACTAAGTATTAAAGCACTAAACACAGATGATGAATTGGATCAATGAATGGAAAACATCCTAAAGGATAGAGTTACAGAATTGGAGAACATTTTATCGTATCTAAATTTGTAAGTAAAAAGGGAGACAAGTTTGAATTAAAAAGGCGTGTCCATCTTCTTCTTTATAGCCTAAACTGACCCTAAGAAATCACTTGATTGATAGTGAACAGTGACAAAAATTTCTTCTAATAAACCTTATAGAGTCACTTGGAGTACAGTGACTAGAGTTTATTCTATATACCTTAAAGAGTCACTTAGAATACAGTATCAAAATCAAACACAATACATAATGATCATTTACGCCTACTTTGTTGCACAGTAGGACCCTAGTTGTTGCTCTTTCAATCAACTAAACGCCCTTCCGTAATATAATTACACAAAAAAAATAAAAGATAAAATCCCTGATCGCGGTATAGCACACCTACAACTACATACATATACCACCCCCAACCTCACCATAAGCTGTACCCTTGCAAGCAGCTTTAGGTAGATAGTAAAAGAATTGCTACCTTGTCAGACAAGAATTATATAGACAGACCATCGATGTACAACGGTTTAGTAACTCAACTCTTAATTCCACACCGATACAACGAACGTAAAGTCTCGCCTTCCATGACTAGCCCTAATAAACAGCTACCCACACTCAAAAGGCAGAATGGAACACAACTAAGTGCTTAAACAACACCTATCTACCCAAGATGCAAACTTTCCAAACTCAATGATCATATCAATTCGAGATATTGCTCTTTCAATGGTTAAAATTGCATAAACCCAGATCCAATTATCCAAATCATCAAAATGAGGACCATGAAATTATACAGGAATCATCCCAAAAATTACCCCCAAATTAGTTGAAAAACACAGGATCCCACAAACTCAAATATCAGAAATTCCCCAGAAAACCCAACAAATTCCAATCATAATCATCTAATAATCATAATTAAAACTTTTCAACCATTTCCCCAGATTCCCACTTGTACAAAATCAAGATCAAACCAAAGAAACCCAAATCAAAATAAAACATGGGTAATCAAGAAATCAAACTTAGGGATCGAATTTCAAATGAAAAAAGCAAACAAATCGAAAGGAGAGAGAAAGGGACCTTGCGATGTCTGGCGTTGAGCTCCTTGGTGACGTGGGCTTTCTCGTTCATTTTGTTGAATTATTAAAGATGATGATGATATTGAGAAGAAGCAGAAGAAACAGATGATTAGGTAATTGAATTGGAATAAAAATCTCTCTCCTCCTGTTCTTCTGTCTTCCTCTCTCTCTGGTTAAGCAAAGCCTGGCAATTAGAGGGATTGTGGTCTGACTTGGTTAATCAAATCAACAAACCTTCCCACTAAAGAAATTCATATATTTATGGAAATTAATACTGATTTTTTTTATTTTTGATTTATGAATGATATGATTGATGACTTATATAGTGGTGTCTTGTCCTTTGGGATATTGGTTTTAATCTACAACTAGCTTTTGGCGTAGATGATGTCCCAAATTGTTACCAGTACAATATTAATTGAGTTGGAAATATAATAGTTTGACATTATAACATCAACAAATTCAAACAATCGCCTAAATCTAAAGTTAGAGAAGGTATTGGGTGTAGACTGTCGTACGCATAATTACGTGCGGCAAACTTGGCTAATATATTTCATTTGTTGACTGATATGTTTCATGTGTTGGTTGATTTGTTTCATTTGTTGGCTATTATGGTTTTTGTATAGGTTAATATATTCTTTTTGTTGGCTGATATGTTTTTTTTAAAAAAAAAAAATTTATATGTTCCTTTTGTTGGCTGCTATAAGAAATCAGTTGGCTGATATGTTTCTTTAGTTGGCTTATATCTTTATTTTGTTAACTGATATGTATATTTTAATTGTTGGTTTATATGTTTCATTGTATTGGCTGATGTGTTTATTTTGTTGGCTTACTTGTTGCTTTTGTTTGCTAATTTCATCCTTTTATTGGCTGATATGCTTCATTTGATGGCTGATATGTTCCTTCTGTTGGCTGATATGTATCTTTTATTAGATGATATGTTCCTTTTATTGGCTGATATGTTTCATTTGTTGGCTGATATGTTCCCTGTGTTGATTGATACGTTTTTTATTAATGTCTGATATGTCTCTAATGTTGACTGATATCAGACATCAATTGGCTGTTATATTCAGTTTAATGGCTGATATGCGTTATTTGTTGGCTAATATGATTAACAACATACATTATACTAGTATTTTTATTTCCTCCTCTCTCCTCTTTCCCCCTCTTCCTCTCTTTCTTTCTCTCTTTTTCAAATGAGAATTGACACCCAAACAGGTCCAGTTGTACGAGAAACTCGCAATAGGACATCAATAGCAGAGTTCCCTTTCTTGTCTTCCCTCATCATACCACAGTTGTGGATTGTCCAAATTCGTTCACTTTTAACCAATGGGTTCTCACTGAATTGTATTGTCGAAATTTCTGCAAGTGACTCATCTACTAACACCTCCACTAATGAAAGATCATTCACAATATCGAATGCATGTAATTCACCAGCTACAATTGCAACCCAAACCACCTCCCACCATTAGCAGCCCGCACCGCACATCACAGCCCCTGCTCACGTTAACCAAAACAGCTCCCACCAGCCTACGCACTCACCCACAACTCCAGCCAGCACAACCGTACTAAAGCAGCCCCAGCCACCCTCACCAAGCCACCAGCAGCAAAAACAACCAGCCTACTCCCAAAAAACCTCAACCGCCGCCACCAATCGAACCTGCAAACCGCCATTACCAAGAGAACTCCACTAGCACCAAAGCGAACTCCACCAGCACCCGCAAATCGCACCGCTTCATCTTCGTCATCTACTTTTTCAGGGGTTTTTGATTCAATCGGAAATCATTTTCTTCGATTTGGTTGGCTGATTCAAGCATAATGATGTTGTTTTGGGAATTCTGAACCCTAAAATCTCAGTTTTCTTTGAGAATTGAAATGAATGGGTGGGTTTCTTAGGGTTGTTGTGTTTGAAGTGAAAATGGGCCGCCACACTAAATATTGGGTGCGGACTGAATAGACACAATAATAAATAGTTTGTGATCAAAGTTTAAAGACATATTGCGTATATGGTTATTATAGAAAAATAACATGTAATACATATAACGGAAAATAATGACTAAAACTTTTCCTTTTTTGTTTTTGAAACCACAAAATATTAGTATAAGGTAATTATTATTAGGGAGATTGAATAGACACAATAATAAATAGTAGTAAGTTATTTATACTTTGAATAAGAGGTTTTATAGACTTGTTATATCTTTACTTATATAATGTCAAGCCATGGTGGGGGAAGGATGGTACGTGGCATTAACATGTTGTATCTTTGAGCTTTGATAAATTTAATAGTTAGGGAAATGAGAATATTGTTAATTAATAAATGGTCATATGATATCCATCTTAGTTATTGTGTGATTGTAATGTATCAGTTTCTAAATTATAACGAGTAATATATATATGTAAGAGTAAAAATTGTAAATGCGTTTTTTGTTTGAAAAGGTTGGGAAAAATCCTACAAATATAACAATTAACAACAAATGAAAAGATAAAGTAGAAAGTGTAAACGAGGGGCTAGGCCTCGAAAACAAAGGGGAAAAACAAATTAAGTAGCAACAAGATGTGGCCAAGCACTCTAACTATGTTTTTATGAATAATTCTCTCTAATTCCGTAGGTGGAATTTGAATAATTTCCATCTTCGCAGTTTAATTCATTACAATATTTGACAAACAGTTTGCTGCCATGTTGCCCTAATGGGAGACCTCCCACGTATCTCCTTTTATCATTTAACAAAAATTGTTGATTAGATGAACGCAATCCCTCTGTAAGGCACCAAGCTTTGTAAAGCTAAGATATCCACTTGATTATCTGTTTATAATAGTTGGCTAACGCCTATCCTTAGTGTTAGATTTAGTCCTATTTCTATATCCTTAACTTCAGCACAAAGAAAATTCCAAATACAGTAGAGAAAGCATATTTATTATAAAATTTCATTGTGATTTTGTATAACTTTCCTTTCTTTATTGACCTAGGGGAGCCTCAACTAGCGTTGCACCATCGGTATCTAAGGCGAAATAATATGGAAGGGGAGAGTGGGAGACCTTTATAATATGCGGGTGTTAGTAGGTCATCTCCAAGAGCTCTCCATATTATTTCAAAATGGGTTAGGAGGAGGTTTGTAATTCTATAAAGTTGACTAGGACATCGATCATTGACGCGACTAGATGTACCATGATTTCTCCTATTCGATATCTATCATAAAGCTAGCTAGGCTAAATAAATAAAGTTGGTCAACTCTCTCATACATAAAGAAAAATTAAATGAACAAGTGTAACAAAATTAACCATAACTTTTATATAATACTTTATCATCACATTTTTTTTTTCTTTTCATTAAAAAATGTACATTATTATTCTTTCAAAAAAAATGTACATTATTATACTACTTCCTTTTAATTACATTAGTTTTTCCAAAAAAAATTACACTACAAAAGTAGTTCATTTAAATTACATTACAGTATAATACTAGTTAAATAACATTAGATTTCCCAAAAAAATTACATGAAATTAGATGTTCTATTACATTAGCTCCCCAAAATAAACACTAATGTTCAATTTAGAATTACATTACCCTTCATGATATTGGAAGTCATCCGACAGCGGGTGGTTAAAGATTTCTTCCATGGTTGCTTCTTGGTTTTTGAACATGTTATCAAATTCAGACGATTCAAACGAACATTGCAAACTCTTCTCGCACACCACTTGAGGGTTTTAGCCCAAGTTCCAAGTTAATCTTCATCCCACTTCCTCTTACAGTTTCAGCTTGTTGTGGGTTAGGAGTTGGAGTTCCATGAATCCTCAAGTTCCAAGGATCATTCGGGTCAAATGAATCCCTAACCTTTTGTTTTCCCTTAGCTGTTGCTGTCTTTTTAGCTTCTCTCTTCAAATAATCTCTCTCAACTTCATCCAATGCATTCAAGAAAGACTCAATCCCAAACACTTCTTCATCTTGATTCAAGATCGGGGGTTCCTTTAATCTCTTTTCAATGAACTCTTCCATTGCTTTGAAAAGAAGATTGTTTGGGAAGAGTTCCTTAGCATGGTTCAGTTTTTCAGCCATCTTTGACAATACCCACCTAAAGTCTCAGCCAGATCAATGAATTCCTCCATGAAATGCTCCTAAAAAATGAACATAAGGTATAAATAATATGAACATTCAGTATTCTTCTATGAACATTAGAACAAATATTATCTATAGTTATGTGATGAGATATTAAATGAACATATATAATAAATAAATCAACATGAGGTGTGTTTATATGAATATAATATATGTTAAAGATAAGAACATAGAAACTATTATTATATGACATGAGATGTTTTTATATGAATATAATATGTTAATGACATGAACATGCCAAAAAATTCAATTTATAAATAAAGTTAATAAATTATGAACATAAGAGAAACATTATAAATATATGATATTAATATACCTTATCAGTTTTCTCGGGCACATTTTCTTGTTGTTCTTCAGGTCTTTGGAGGATCCTTGGCAACACAGTTCCTAATCCATAACCTTTGTTCTCCAATTTCATTCTTTTATAAACCATATCCTTGTTCCAAACAGAAATGAGAGGCGGAGTTCTTGTTGGTGAAATATTTTTTCTTTGCACTCGATCAAAGTAAAACAACTAAACAAACATAAGAATAATTCTTATAAGGATATGAACAATTAATAAAAAAAAAATATGAAAAACTTAATTGATCATATAAACATAAGTAATAAAGTTATGAACAAACTAAATATATAAATGAACAAGCATACTAGCTATTTTGAACAAAAGTAAAAAAATTATAAACAAATTATACATAAATGAACAACAACCATAACATTATGAACAACAGTAATAAATTTATGAACAAATAGGAATGCCATTATGAAAGGCAATGGACCCTTATAGAACTCTTTTGTGTTGTTTTTCCAATCAGAGCTTGTAACCATCAAGCTATCAAGTACGTACTTGCACCAATTAAATTCCTTGATTTTATAACAATCGCAAAACGAATACAGGAACTTGTAATCACAGTGGATGCTTTGGCTGCATTTCATCAAACAGTTCACAGATAGCACAATGAAATCAATGACAAATATTTCAATTGCTTCACCCATGTTCTTTTCAATAGACACAATTTTGGCAACCTTCTTCTTCTTCTTAATTTTTTTTCTCCTTTTCTTCTTCCTCTTCCTCAGGTTCATACTTTCCCAAAATCAGGTGTGTTTTGGGGCTTCCAGAAGTAATGCAATAAGCTTTTCTCCATCTTGTTAAAAGACTTTCTTCCTTTTCTTTATCGTTAAATTCAACTGTTTCTTCAA